AGTTTGTTTAACTTCTTTGCCTGTACTATAAATAATTAAGAGGCACTGGACCGTGATATAGTTGACTCAGTTTTTTTTCGTTGGGATATACGTCGGCATACGCAAGCAAAGTGCCAAAGAAGCAAGGATTACATATTAGAGTTATCGGTTTTACAGTACAGAGTTACAATCGGTTATCATCGGTTTATTATTCCTTGATCTTATTATATATCAATTTAGTTCACTTGATGAACTGTATTTGCGTTAGCTTGCTATTGTAACAATATTTTGCGCTCTTTCTGTTTTGCCTTGCACAATGTTTGTGACCTACATGTTATAATCTACTCAATTTATCCATAATCTATATTAAAAATCTATTAAAAATCTGATCTTGAGATATTTGGCTGCAAACTGTGAGACTTCATCAGCTACCAAAATATTTCACCCATATACTTAAAATTTTCACTGTTTTTTGTATTTTACGTATTACGTGACGTTTATTAATTCTCAAAATTATGTCAAATCTCAGCCCAAAACGCATGAAATGGCATTTCAGAGACTCTAGATATAAAATTTCCCGGGAGGGATGCCCCTGGACACCGTACGAGGTCTCGCGCTATAGGCGATCGAGTGCCCTTTTCAAGATTTTGCCCCCGCCGCTTGTCAGTCCTTCCGGCGCCCCTGAGTAACCCCCCAAACCACCACCACCACCACCGACAATATAATAAATGTACAGTACTGTATAGACTGTATAGAAATGACCTCTTTAAACTTGTAGTAAAAGACATCAGATCTTTCATTTTCTTGTGCTTTCAACAATTAATATGCATGCCTATTTAACCCATTAAGCTGCAGAGTTTCCTAGCCTGTTAACGAGTAAAATCATCTGGCGTTAAACAAGTACAAAAATAAGTACTGGGGTGCAATGGGTTAACTAGAGACATTGTCAGATTTTTTTGGTTAACCCATTAAGCGCATGCAGAGCGCCGAAGAGGCTAAAGCTGGGGGTCATACCATTTTTCGATACTAAGAGTGTAGTGAGAAGTTGCTCAAAAAGGAAAAAGTTGCTTCAAGTTGCTCGAGCCGAAAAAAGTTGCTCCAAACGCAAAATGTTGCTCAAAAGTTGCCGAGCACAATCGGAACATGCCTAGCAGAGCTTCCCCGTTGACGAGTAAAATCGGTTAGGAGTATAGGGTTGGGAGTAGGGTTAGGGCTACAGTGCCGTAGGCACTATCCACTTATCCCGGTTGCTACGGCCCTGGGTTAGGAGTAGGGTTAGGGTACTACGTCAATGAACTACAAAGACCGCTAAACAGCTAGTAGTGAGTTACTAAAATGTACTTACTAAAACGTTTTACTAAAATGTACATAATTGAAGTAAGACAAAAATTTATGGCAAGTTCAGGGCGAAAGTTATAAAGGTAGATGTTCGATTATTTTTCATATTAGCTGCGCGCATTGCATTTTGGGTATTTGTGCATTGCATTTTGGGTCTATCTGTTGATTAAAATTGAGAATTATGTCAGTTACATGAATTAAATTTGCTGCCTTGCTCGCTCCCTGTGGTAACAATAATCGTTACATGTCAAATTTTTCTCCACTGTAATACCACTATAATAAATAACTGGACCCCCCCCCCCTTCTGAACCAATATTTTTAGGTGCCCCCCCCCGCTTTTTCTGTCAAAAATACCTCATGACCCACCCCCTTTTTTGCCAGCCTACCCCCATTCTCGTCCCCAGGGCCTCTCGGCCGCGTGCGTCCTCCCTAGGCCCTGGGACACACGGAACCGGAAGTGCAAGAAAACTTGCAGTAGTTTCTAAGGCGCATGCTCTTGAATTGGGACACTTTAGCACCCGTAAGAATTTTCACAGTGAAGTATTAAGAAGAAACGAGGTATTTGTGTTGACATATGTATTATGTTGATAGAATAATTTTGCCCAGCGAAAACTGCTCAACTTCTGCGAAATAGCAGTTCTCTGAGAAGCCAATCAGATCTCTTCCTTTAGTCGTCTATCCCAGAGCCTAATTTTCAACGAGTGACCGAGTGAAAATGGCTCTGGGGACGAGAATGGCCCACCCCCAGTCATAAATATGAATGGTCCCTTATGAATGTGATGTTTGCAAGAAGAGATTCATATAAAATTAGGAAATCTTAATTGGCGCAAAAAGAAGCATTTGTTTTGCAATAGTTGCCACATGGAGATTATTCAACCACAAAATTTGCAATTTGTTCAGGATAAAAATACAGGAAAGTACGCTTGTAACAAATGTAACCACAGGCGGCCCAGACGTGTATCAGTGTATAGTAAATATATAATTATAAAATACACAATAAAATACACAACATAAACAATAAAATTTGTAATGAATTTTATATTTTAAAATCATATTTACTTGCCTACTTTGATTGTATGTGATCGTCTTTTATTTCTGAGCGACTTTACATTCGATGCCTGCGACTGTCTTCATGGGTGATAGTATTGAAAGCAAAGGCTAACGATTCCAGTTCTCAAACAGCCGACACGAACAATTCAAATCGAAAAATATCCCCTTCAAATTGCTTTGTTCCCGGTAAAACGTCGCCAGCGTATAGAATAAACACCCATCTTCAAACATACAAGGCAATATTAACACGTCCTGTAATTTTTGCAATGGATTTTTAGCGAAATGTTTCGAGACTAAAATTCTATGGAACTTAGAAAGACCGATAATTACTACGGCGCCTGCTTGGCCACCTAGCCTCCTTTACCGTTTGTTTTGTCAGGGGGGGATTCAAATAAAAAACACCTATTTCCAGCAACAGCCAGCCAATCAACGCCGCGATACAGACTGTTTACAGTATTTGAAATCTGATATTGCAATTTATCAACAACAAAACTCTTTCGATCGTATACAGCTCTGAGTATGGCTCTCTTTCTATCTTATACTATACGATCGACCGATCGAAAGTGTTTTGTTGTTGATAAACTGCAATATCAGATTTCAAATATTGTAAACAGTCGGTATCGCGGCGTTGATTGGCTGGCTGTTGCTGGAAATAGGTGTTTTTATATGAATCCCCCCCCCCCTGACAATCCAAACGGTAAAGAAGGCTAGGTGGGCAAGCAGGCGCCGTAGTAATTATCGGGCTTTCTAAGTTCCATAGAATTTTAGTCTCGAAACATTTCGCTAAAATCCATTGCAAAAATTACAGGACGTGTTAATATTGCCTTGTATGTTCGAAGATGGGTGTTTATTCTATACGCTGGCGACGTTTTACCGGGAACAAAGCAATTTGAAGGGGATATTTTTCGATTACGATCTGCGACGCGGCCGGCTCAACGACGCGGTCTAAATTTTAGCTCAAGAATGAGCGCTAAGCAATTCGATTACTGTAATAAATATTTGACTCTTTCAAATAACCTTACAAAATGCTACGTTCGGCTAAAGCGATGCAATGTTTACAAATTATTGACAGTTTTTGTCTTGCATGACAAATTTCTTTGTAAGTTCTTTGTGGGTTTGCATGGCGATAAATACTATTGTTTGTGGAAACACCAAATTACTACATATTGTTTGTGGAAATGGCGATAAATACTATTGTTTGTGGAAACACCAAATTACTTTGTTTTGAAAACGCGTCGTCGAGGCGGCCGCGTCGTAGATCGTAAACTCCCGTGTCTTGAAGACAATTTTCAAACTCAAAACACTACCCAAAAAGTTTAAAAATCCACTCTATCGATACTAAAGATAGTAAAATACAGTGAATTGGCTTCAGTGGATTTTAGTGCCAAGCCCGAAATGTACTTTTCTCCGACCAAACTGCGAAAAAACAAATATGTAAACATCGAAAAACACTGGCCAGTGGTACATGTTTTGATTCAAATGTTACTATCACCTATGAAGACACTGACAGTCGCAGGCATCGAATATAGAGTCGCTCAGAAATAAAAGACGATCACATACAATCAAAGTAGGCAAGTAAATATGATGTTAAAATATAAAATTCATTACAAATTTTATTGTTTAGTATATTCTCAGAGGTATATTCTATAATGATATATTTACTATACACTGATACACGTCTGGGCCGCCTGTAATGTAACAAGCGATTTATGAAATTGGTAGGAAAAATCTGATCACATTGTTCAGCGGTTTCACTTTCCATTTCAGCATCATCTAGCGCACAAAGCCTTGAAACTTGAATTTTTAAAATACTCAGTCAGAAGTTTACAGTAAAAAATCTTTTGTGGAGAGAAAAGGAAAACTTGAATCAAATCATGTCTGATCTGTGTGAAGAGAGGCATTTTAAAAGAACACACACTAGCGGCAAACCTAATTAATGCGATGTTTATACTAAGACGAAATTTAGACAAACAGGTCATTTTGCTGCTCATATGGAAAGAACACACAATAGACAAAAGTCTTATGATTGTGATGTTTGTAAGAAGAGTTTTAAAAGATCACGTATTTTGGTAAGACATAAGAGAACACACACAGGAGAAAAACCTTATGAATGTGATGTTTGTGAGAAGAAATTTAGAGAATCGGGCAATTTGGTAAAACATAAGAGAACACACACAGGAGAAACCCCTTATGAATGTGAAGTTTGTAAGAAGAAATTTAGTCAATCAAGTAATTTAGCTGTACATAAAAGAACACACGCTGGAGAGAAGCCTTATGAATGTGATGTTTGCAAGAAGAGATTTATACAATCAAGTCATTTAACAAAACATAAAAGAACACACACTGGAGACAAACCTTATGAATGTAACGTTTGTAAGAAGAGATTTAGCCAATCAGGTAGTTTAACTATACATAAAAGAACACACACTGGAGATAAACCTTATCAATGTGACGTTTGCAAGAAGAGATTTATACAAATAAGAGGTCTTAATTGGCACAAAAAGGAACATTTGTTTTGCAATAGTTGCCACATGGAGATTATTGAACCACAAAATTTGCAAGAACATTTTGTTGAGGATAAAAGCACTGGAAAGTACGCTTGTAACAAATGTAACAGGACATTTTCTAATTTTATGAAATTGGTTCAACATATAGCAAGACAACATGGAAATGATGGGATCTATCAATGTGGTTTATGTCAAGAACTTGAATCAAAAGAACCAACTGGTGTTGGATATGTTTGTTGTGTTTGTGATGTTGTATTTGATGTTCCCAGAGATCTCGAAGATCACATGGCCACCCATGACTCGATGTGAATATTGTTGCTGGTTTTGAGTATTCAGCGAGTTTATGCATATATAGGCATTTGTAGCAGACTAGTTGTTTATATTTCTCATGCCTATTATTTTACTGTTGTGTGAGCTGATGTTGATCACTAGATAGGGAGAGATCATTATGTTCCTGGTGTTAAATATGTGAAATATGAACAGTAGAATGTATGGAAGGAGAATTTGGCTTTTAGAAATATTGTTATGTCAATATCTTGTGTCAATATATACAGTTACATTAAAGCGGTCAGTGCAGAAACGCGTGTGAATAAAGCCCCATACAATTATATCAAAGTGTTCAGTCTCTGCACTCTGGCGTTCAGTGCACGAATTCCATAGCCACGAAACATACGGAAGCGAGAACGCTTTGATAGAACTATAAGGAGTTATTCACACGCGTTTCTGTATACAGATAATGTATGGGTTAATATATTGTTATAATAGGTCATAGTCGGTTCCCCTGTGATTATTGTAGTTAATTTTAATATTTATTTTAGGGGTGTGGGTAATTATCAGATTTGGGACAATCAGTTTGGTGTTGTGTTTGTTGTGTTGAAAAATTGAGAACTGACAATTGATTGGGATTGATATTGATATAATTTATTAAATTTGATGTATGATGCACCAGTCAAAGTAAACTCCGACCCCACCCCGGACAAAGAGGGGACTTGGTGGGGATTTAGTGGCTTTTTGTCATCGAATTCTGTCCCAACCATGTCGGGAATTTGTTGGTTTTTGTCCAGGGTTTTGTCATTCTGCCGAATTACGCCGGGAAGATAATGGGGATTGTTAGGGTATTGTCTGCGGCCATTTTGTACCATTTTGTACGGTTTTGTCCAATGGAATTCCCTGGTTCTACCATTTTATACCATGGAATTTTATAAATATATTATTAATTTAAGTTTTTTTATGATTGCATGGCGATAAAATATATAATAGTTTTGTCTGTGGAAACACCACGTAAATTTATTACTGCAAAGCTTTCGATCCGTAAGCCCGGATCTTCATCAGTGCTAATAATATGTTATTATTTAATAGCACTAATATATAAATTAATATAATATTAATATCATATTATTAGCACTGATGTAGATCCGGGCTTACGGATCGAAAGCTTTGCAGTCTATTGTTGTGGAAAGCTCGACATTTGTTTGTTTTATATATTAATATGTTTTTATTGCGTTTTTTTTTAGTTTTGGAACAAAATATTAATATTTTAAAATGTGGACGATTCATGCGGCGGCCCGGAAATTGTCGAGGAGATATTATGCAGGAGATAAATTCGCTCACACGACTTACAATTTCCCCCGGGGGTGGGGCATTTTTTGTCTTTTGCTAGAAAATGTTGTCCCATATTGTGGGGCATTTGTCTGTTTTGGTACGGTATTCAAAGCCAATCCCCAATTATATCCCGGGG